CGAGTACGTAGTCCCCGAGATCCTCTCTGTGGTGCAAGGTCTCGGTTGGTGCTGTAGAGCTGCTCGTGCTACTTACCGTGGAGGATGAGGTGGTTGACACTGACTCAAAGCTGGTCGACGAGGTAGTGCTAACTGATGCTGTCGAAGAAACGGTGCTCGCAGACGATGTGGATGACGTTCCAGGAGCCGATACCTGTCCAGTAGAGCAGAGGGACGACGGCGGGTTCTGGAAAGGCAGACACGTTGCGGCTAAGTCGCTTGCCGCGTTGAAGTCATCTGTCAGCGCTGAGGAGTCACTCCCACTAATGATATCAATCTTGGATGCGTAGTCGAGATCGCCAATACCGGTGAAGTTGGCAGTATAAAAAGTGTAGCCACCCACGCAAGTCCCTTCAGTCATGGGAACCGTGACACTTTTCAGGGTAGGGATAGGCAGATTGGGATCCCCTGTTGACGTCTTATACGAGAGATACATGTTAGCAGGCAGAGATTTGCGGTCATTTCGGACCTGAGGAAACAAGTGAGTAATTAACAACATTCAGGAGTATCAAGGGTTTCTCACAGCAGCCGTGACGGTAAGGGTACCAGACAACAGACAACTCTGGGGCATCTGAATCAAGATCGCGTCTTGCATGGGGTATGAATTGCCGTTATTGTCGAAGCTTTGGATCGTTCCGCTCGCCATGGTAAGGTCTATGGTGAAGGACGAAATGCCCGAAGATGTTGGAATAGCCGCGTTGACGGGGAACCACTAGCGTTGACATATTAGCTTCTTGCTAGTAGCCGAGATAATATAAGGTTTCGGCGACTCACAACGAAGTTATCATCGAAACCCTCCGTAATACCTCGCAGAGTCGCTGTGTATTGGCAGCTCGTACTACCGCAGTCGGTTCCTCCGCTTCGGTCTTTGTAGTTCAACGTTAGACTGGACACGGAGTCGTCTCCCATGTTAGTAGTCCGGACGCGTATATACCCAGTTAGCTGCATTGTCGTAGCGCCGGAGTTGAGGGCAAGTTGCAAGTTAACTGGCTTGACAGCATAGGGTTGAATGGGATCCGACAGCACTACACCATCGGGCACTGTATCTATCATCTTCTGAAGAACTGTGGCACAAATGCTATTGAACTCGGAGGCACCCGCCATTGCGGTGATTGTTACATTGCTATCGTAGCTGAACACTTTAAAATCGGCATTTCTGGTTGCCTTGACGGACGGTCCGACTACCAAGGGATTAGTTGTGTTACCAGCGATATATTCTGTGACGACTTTGTTGTCGAAGGCTGCAACAGTTGAGTCTAGGGCAACCTCGCCGTTCTCTGTAGTCCCAAGAGGAACGATTTCTGGGAATTCCGTGTCATGAACACCCCCGATAGAGTGGCCACAGGCAGTGGCTTGGATCATCTCCGTCGTGCTGAACCCCATCCGCGCGAACTGCTGACTGAAGGTGAAAGCAGTATTCTGGGGCAGAGGAACACCTATAGGACCGCCGGCGGTAGCATCGACTCTACCACCGGCCACGGGGACCACGGGGCCGCCGCACGACCTAACGGCATAGTATACGCCTAGGGCAATGAGATCTGCAACGCCTGATCGGCTCGTGTAGTAGTCGGCCATGAACTTCAGAGTGGTGTTGAAACCCGGGCCAAGGTTGTCCGAGCTTAGTAACTCATACTGCAAGGAGCCATCCAAGCCGCCAGCCCGTACATTGCTCAGGTATGTAGTGGTGGCCATGTCATGAAATGCAGCTCGTAGCCATTCCGCAGCATTTTGTCGACCAGGGCCAGAGGCCTCGTTAGAACACGGGATGACGGTGCCGCCGAAACCTCGGCCTCTGAAGCCCGAGACTTGGTACATAATCTCCTCTAGTTCGTCATTGGGGGATGGCCATGTCGGGTCTGCCGCAGCGAGCATCGCAAAAAGGATAAGTGAACATGACACCTGCCAGAATTTTATTCTGTAAAGATGCATCATGAATGGATGTATGATCTGAAATATATCAAATAACTTGTCCAATTAGATACTATCAGAGAATATCTAGAGTGAAGTCCAAACGACAGCTTCATGAGGAACAAGGCAAGATGCCAAACCGAAAGATGGTATAGACGAGATAATAAGAGCAACGCGAAGTTCAAGGAAAGGGAATGAGCCTCGAAAATGAAGGTTCGCTGTGCAGACATGGTAGAATATACGCGAGGCGACATTGTGACTTGGTAGCTACGAAGTCCTATCGCTACACTATGCTGAGTATCTTTCGACAGTTTCCGCGAGATAGGGAAACTCACCAGCGAAGGCCGGCGACTGCAAGACCCCTGTCAAAAACAAAATACGAGACCATGCACATGCAATACAACGTAGGGTAGCATCTTTAAGGTTGGTTGCTGTGAGAGCAATGCAACTCGCAAGCCACTTGGAGGCAGTTAGACGGATACATGTAATTGTCTACCGGTAAGAAAAATATACGCAGTTTTTCTGTTGCATCTGCATATCTGTTAGCATATATAGCGCATCGGATTTTAGGATTTCGTATCTCAACATTGGCATCTCATAAAGTCTTGTAGTCATTAACAGAGGCGAACACCCTGTTCCGCCACGCCACACGAACTATCCAATACAAGTGAGACCAACACAGATTTGCTGGAAGGGGAGAGGGCTGAACGTCGATAGCATGTAGGCGTTCACCTGATCGAAAAATGGCGTTGCTCGCGCTGCGGTCAGAGCCTAGTTTGACGCCGAGCTGCCGTCGTATCGTCGTATCACCAAAGAGTACCTCCGTCATTGGTAGTCCACTATGGTCGTAGATTTACTGGATCAGATCGTATTGCGGTGGTTTGAAAAAATGTCCATACTGTCGGGTCCTTGATGAGTTAATGCTAGGTAAGCTGCAAGAGCCCGACGGTTGGAACTCAGACTAAGGCCCGGGACGCTTGCCGTTGTCGTATCCAGTTCCCGCTCTGTAAAGTTCAATGGAATCGAGTAGCAAATACCACAGCAAATACCAAAGCAAGCGGCAACGGCTCGGTCGATGAATATCTGTCGGTCAACTGTAACTATTGATAATATGATCTAAAATCTTATCGTATGTTCCTAGCTCACCCGCGTCCCCGTGAGCGTAGCCAAAGCTTACTCTAGCGGAGAGCACTATTTGCATGAAGCAGAAGAAGGAAAAACTTCAGTAGAGACTTCAGTAGAGATGTCTGTGTAACAACATCGCTTATAATGCGCATTCGACCATTGGGCTATTGAGCGACACGTGCGGCAAGTGGACTTACTTGCAAGGGTAGATGATTCGCGACGAGGATGATGTAGGGTTACCTACCTTGTAGATTCCCAGATACTTAAGGTAGGATATTCAGGTACGTACCTAGGTTAATACACGGTAAAAAGATCTAGGCCCAGAACGGACTCAAACTTAAGGGGGGGTCTTATCCTGCCAACAGTTACAATAGGTCCCCATATAAATTAGGTGGGACAGCATTATATCAAATGGCACTCCACTACTAAAGCTAATGCTAATCAAGTCACCGCCTTCTAAGCATTATTCTCTATTTCTATCGCATCCTTCCTTTTATCGTAATTACTTCTATTATTTCCCTCCTTATATAATAATTATATTCTAACTTATTATTTTAAAAAATTACTATATTAGCTTTTAAATTTCAATAATTTTATTTACAATTAAAATAAAAAGTTTTTTTTTAATTAATATTATTAATTTTTTAAATAACCTAAATAATTAAAATAATAATTATAATAAATATAATTTACTTTTATTTTATAATAAAAAATTTAAAATAAATATTATAATATATATTTTTACATAAAAATATATCATAAGCCACCCCCGAAAATAATATCTTAAAAAAAAACCTTAAAACATATAAAAATAATAAAAATTCTTACGTTATATTTAGAATAACTAAAATATTATTTAATTTAACGTAATATATACAAATAAGAATTTTAAACGAAATCTCACTGGTAAGTGGGGCAAACTACTTCCTAAAGAGGCATAACGTGAATTGAATTTAATTTTTCAAAAAAATAAGCCCTGTTTTTGATTTAAGACCCCCCCTTAAGTTCGAGTCCGTTCTGGGGGCTAGAATCTCAGCTCCAACATCGGCGCGATTCCCGACTTCACAACTTCCTCTCCCGTCCTAGCGCCAAGCCATACCGACAGAGGCGCGCAACCAGACAAACCAGGCGAGCAATTGTCATAAACGTTGATGACTTTTCGGAAGGTGCTAGCGAGACAGGCTGGAAAAATACGATTAAATATATGCACGTATGATTGGGCCACGATGACGGCCACGATCGCTATATACACCACGTTCTTATCCACCTGATTCCCGATGTGTAAAGCATGCAGACTTATACTCGTCTTATACTCGTCCCTAACCCTGCTAGAGGGAGTGAAGTCCATATATACAACAGCCGCACTTTGGAACCAGTATGCCTAAGTGCCTATCTATTTACTCAATCCGTCGAACATTTCATAGCCGATATACTGAAATTATCAAGGCCGGTGATGGTTTGAGTTTCGGGTGGTACATACCCGAGATAAAGTACAGCTGGAGTACATACGCAGCTGAGACAAGTAGACCTGTCATATTAGGTACAGACATCAGACAACCTTGGAACAGCCTAGTAGCTTGAATTATACCTAGTTGGCTCGCATTCTCTTCCCATACGGTGTATACCTAAGATGACTAGACTTGATTGCACAGAAAGCAACAGTGTTATCTTGTTGAACACATCGCTCGCGAGGCTAACAAAAAAGGCTAGAATATGCCACATCTGAAGTCGTATGACGTGAAGGGATGATTTCCTTTGATCTGTGATTTGGCATGGGCATATAGGTACTTCCTATCAAGATTTGCTAGGCCCAGTAATTTTGATAGGCCGTAGTTTTACCGCTAGACTACTATCATTTGACTGCCTGAGCGATATAGACGTGGATTGAACGGCAGGAAACATGGTCGAAGTCATTATCTGCAAATAGATCCGAATTGGTGTAGTGGCCAACATTTGACGCTCTCAAACTTCGTGGAACCGTCAAGCCCGGGGTTCGATTCCCCGATTCGGAGATGTTATTTTGCTGTTCCTGTTAATTTTGTTACTTTCACTATCTGATTTGTGCCTTACATATTTGGGCAATATCTTAGGTACGTTTTACTTTCAATGTGGTTTTTTTTTTTCGGCTCAAGCTGATATGAAGATAAAGGGGTATATGGCCCCGCCATTCCAACAGTTAATCGTAGTGTTTAAATGCATTTTACAATTTTTGAAGTCCCTCAGGGCAGAAAGGTGGGACCACAACTCAGAAATTCGGTTAGCCCTCCCCAACCCACAAGAAAATTAATTTGATTGAATTTTCTCATTTTCCATCGACGAACAACATCACCAAACTCAATTTTCGAGACCATCAACAACCAGCGTCGAGGTACGTCCGTCTAAGCTACACAGTCCGTTAGCTTCATTTCCATAAGCTTTCAATTCTTCATACTTTCTTCCTAACTTATTCCCCCAATTGACTGACATCTGCCGACTTTAGATAAACGACCTTCACGATGGCCTCTCGACCGACTGTCACCATCATCGGCAAGGATGGTTCTCCCTCGGGAGCTACCCATACCATACCTACCGTTTTCGCGTCCCCGATTCGACCTGACATCGTCCAGCAAGTCCACACCGGAATGGCCAAGAACAAGCGACAGCCGTATGCTGTGAGCGAGAAGGCTGGTCACCAAACCTCTGCCGAATCTTGGGGAACTGGTCAGTCATCTTCTGATGTTCTTGATATAGTGGAAGTCAATTGTCTGATAGTTATGGATTAGGTCGCGCTGTTGCGCGTATCCCCCGTGTCTCCGGTGGTGGTACTCACCGTGCCGGTCAGGCTGCCTTCGGTAACATGTGCCGTTCCGGTCGCATGTTCGCCCCTACCAAGATCTGGCGCAAGTGGCACATCAGGGTCAACCAGGGCCAGAAGTAAGTTCAATGGAATATCAGATTTATTACGAACAAGCAGACTGACATTCATGACAAGGCGATTCGCTACAGCCTCTGCCCTTGCCGCCTCGGCTGTTCCCCCTCTATTGCTCGCCCGTGGCCACCAGATCTCGTCCGTTCCCGAAGTCCCTTTGGTTGTCGACTCGGCTGCTTTCGAGGGAGGTGCCGCTGCCAAGACCGCTGGTGCTCTCGCCATCTTGTCCGCCGTCGGTGCCGCCGCCGATATCGAGAAGGCCAAGAAATCGAAGAAGCTTCGTGCTGGTAAGGGTAAGATGAGAGGCCGCCGCCACCGTCAACGCCGTGGCCCTCTAGTCATCTACGACCCTGAGGTCGATGGCAAGGAGATTGTTACCGGCACCCGCAACCTGCCCGGTGTCGAAACCTGCTCCGTCTACGCCCTGAACCTTCTCCAGCTCGCCCCCGGTGGTCACCTTGGCCGATTTATCGTCTGGACCTCGGCTGCGTTCAAGGCCCTTGACAGTATCTACGGCACCACCACCAAGCCTTCTGAACTCAAGAAGGACTTCCTGTTGCCCTCTAACCTGGTTTCCCAGGCTGATCTGAGCCGTCTAATCAACAGCTCCGAAATCCAGAGCGTGCTCGAGGCTCCCAAGGGTGGTTCTCTGACCAAGCGTGCCGGTGTGCAGAAGAACCCTCTGCGCAACAAGCAAGTCATGCTGCGCTTTAACCCTTACCACTCCACTTTCATCAAGAACGAACTTGGCCAACAGAAGGCGGAGGCTGGCAAGCCCCCTAAGCCCCCTAAGGCTTTCTTGGAGCTTGTGCGTCAGGATTAGACTAGCTTGGTGAGCAGCATAGTCGGACAGGAGGAAAATGGTGCATCGGTTGCTATATCACGGCGTAATGGTTCATAGGGTCTCATGAATCAATGGACATTTGAGTTCTGATCACCGTATTTCCCATCCAAATCACGATTCCCGTGCTGCTACGTCGTTCCCTTGTGAAGTAATTCGTAAGTTAGCTAGTACCTACATTATCCCTGCTTCTTGCAACGCCTTCTTCTTCACCCACTAGGCCAGGTATCGACTTTTACTTCTACTTGGCAATACAGAAATCCGTGGAGAGTATGCTGGAAGTATCGCATAACATGACGCCAATTTCTCAAATACCCAAGGGCTTTCTACTATGTATATCATGATTGAATACCTATGGAAATGGTCTTGCTTCTTTGACCTTGGAATCCAGATTATATCTAGCCTAACCCCGTGAACGGACTCGAAGTTAAGGGGGGGTCTTATCTTGCCCACAGTTACAATAGGTCCCCATATAAATTAGATGGGATAGCATTATATCAAATAGCATTTTATTACTAAAGCTAATACTAATTAAGTTACCGCTTTCTAGGCATTATTTTCTATTTCTATCGCATCTTTTTTTTTATTATAATTATTTTCATTATTATATTTTTTTTTATATTATAATTATATTTTAATTTATTATTTTAAAGCGTTATTATATTAATTTTTAAATTTTAATAATTTTATTTATAATTAAAATAAAAATCCGAAATTTTTTTAAATAATTTAAATAAATATAATTCACTTAATTTATTTTATTATTATATAAAAAAAAGCTTAAAATAAATGTTATTATCATATATTTTAAAAATATATTATAAGTTACCCCCGAAAATAATATCTTAAAAAAAAGCCTTAAAACACGTAAAAATAACAAAAAATCTTACGCTATACCTAGAACAATTAAAATATTACCTAATTTAACACGGTACATACGGACAGGGGTCTTAAACAAAATCTCACTGGTAAGTGGGGCGAACTACTTCCCAAAGAGGCATAACGTAGATTGAATTTAATTTTTCAAAAAGATAAGCCCTGTTTTTGACTTAAGACCCCCCCTTAAGTTCGAGTCCGTTCAGGGCCTAAAAATCGTTGGTATATGTGTGTACTGTTGCCCAAAGGAACAGGTGAGGTAAGTGTTTACACGTTTCAGCCTCATGAGAGGCTCGTACAGATAAATGAATTGCCCAGGTTTTGAGGTGCGTGTAAAATACCTCACGTATCTTCTTCGTACCTTCTAGCAGCCCATCCAGCTTCCCAAATTTACTAAACCCGTCAGGTCTTCCGTCTGCTCGGTACTCGCCTCGTCCAACAGTGACTCGATCTCCCTGACGTTCTTGACACGCCAGAAGCGCTGGACGCCCTCGGCGAACCGCAGGGAGCAGGAGTCAATGTTCTCCTCGGACTCGGCGGCGAAGCAGATGCGGTAGTAGGCCCAGCCCCTCTCCTCGCGGATCTGCGGCGTGGCGCTGAACATCAGGCCCGGGCTGACGAGAACCAGGTATGGTTTGCGGGTCAGGAAGATCATGAGGGCCGTTGACAGCGCCGTGCCGGTGATGACGTTGCCCTGGGACCCGGGGGCCTTCCACAGCGGGTGCGTCTCGAAGCGCATGTGTAGCCATAGGAACATTCCACCGCGCGGCCACTGGAAGTCGTACAGCTGCGTCTTGGTGATAACACCCCATTCGGAGTCGGCGTCGCGCGTTGGCGTGGACTGCTTGAGCTGGTACGCATTCTCCTCGAGGATCTTGCACATCCGGACCATGCGCCTCTCGTAGACGCCTCGCAGGCCGGCGAGCCACCGCACCCAACCGTCCATCTTCCAGCCGGCAAAGGTGGCCTTGTCCCTTGCGGAGCGGCTTGCGAATGCCGCCGACGCTTCGGACTGCGGCCCCATGATGGTCTCGGCGATGACGACCTGGGCGAAACCCGAGGGTTGCTGAGTGCCCGACTCGCTGACACGGAGGATGCGCTCGCATATCTCCGGGGATGCGGTAACCCATCCCATTCGGCACCCGGGGGCGACGGTCTTGGAAAAGGTGTCTAGTCGTACAACCCGGCCGTCCACGTCAACGGCAAGAAATGACGGCACTAGCGAGTCCAAGAAGGGATAGCCAGACTTCTTCTCGAGGGTGTTCGCCGGCTTCGGCTCGGGGATGGGTAAGTTCCGCGCCTTAGCCTCTTCGACCTCTGCTGATGGGAATTGTAGATACCAATACGGGTCGTCTTCGACAATGATGACATCGTATTTACTACAGACTGAGTAAATATCCTTCCTCCTTTGTAGCGACAGAACGCCACTGGTCGGGTTGTGTCCCATCCTGGAATAATCATGTCAGTAACTCCCGGGGCCATTCTGGATGAGATTATCCTCTAAAAGATCTAGATAGAAGGAGCGTAATGGCGCGGCCCTCTGAACAGACGAGAAGACATATGTTGGAGATGGGTTAAACTCACGTGACGGTATACATAAAGTGAGGTCGCTTCCCCTTACTATCGTCCCAGTTCGCGAGGACGTCCTCTAAGCTTCCGGGACCGAACGGCGCCATACCCTCCTCGTCCATTTCGATAGGCACAACCTGCACTCCGCGCGGCTGAGCCTGGCTGAGCACGTTGGAGTAGATGAATATCTCAGTCACCATGCCCGGTCGCTCGCGAATGTCGTTCTTCCCTTCGACCCAGATGTTGGTGAATACCTCCAGCGCCTTAGACATGCCGTCCGTGGAACCGACCGTGAAGATGACCTCCGGGCCTCCTCTGTAGGGCACATTCGGATGTAGACAGTCGCGTGCGAATTGGCGGATGAAGGGGCGTAGCGGCGGGTATCCATCGGCTTGGCCGTATTGGAGGGCTGAAGCAAGGTCAATTTTCTTCATTAGGTCTGAGGTAGGCGCATCATGAGGCACGACGACGTGGGAAGTCGTAGTGGATCCGGAGATAGACGTCGCCGCCATCTTCGACGATAGTGTAGCGTCGCCTTCGCCGCCTGGGTGATTTGGAGACGGTGTCCATCGATTCGGCGGCGCGGTCTGAGCCTCTAGCGTATCGAATGGAAAGAGATGCGCATTGGGAAGCCCTAAGACATCAAAATCAACACACAGGTTCCCAAAAATTTACACAGACGGAACAACTGATAAGGGAGTTTCGTACCGCCGGCGAGCTGACCAATGCCCGGGATCTGGAAGTATTTGTAGAATTCTTTTGTCTTGCTGGGAACTCGAGCCTTGGTGACCTCGGAGAAATGGTGAGACATGTCCTTA